CCACTGCCAAGGTCCTCGACAGACTCCAACATTGAAAGGGCCACACGGCCTCTCCTGGCCCATCTCCGCCAGTCCTGGGAGCCGAGACTTTTCCGTGGGCCTACGTGCCGCAGAACAGAGCCTCCCCTGGGCTCGGTCCAACCCACAGGCTCCCGGGAGTCCCGGGGGATCATTCCATGTGTCAGCGGCTTCCCCCTGGTCATGGCCATGACCTAGGGCTTCATGACTGCCTCGGCTGCCAGGCCAGCATTAAATGTCCAGGCTGAGTGCTTGGTCACCACGGTACCTGACAGCTGGGTGGTTCTTCCTCAAACCGTCATTGTGCCCTTTAAATCCTGTGAGTGAGACAGCTGGATGTGCTGCTGAGGAAAGCAAACAGGGCATTCATCCTGGGGACTCTAGCCCACGGACAGGGTTGATGAGATTCATTGCTTTGCAGGAGCTCGGCCCCGTGACAGAGTGTAACGAACATAACGAACAGCATTCCCTCCACACCTCACAATCTATGAAGCTCTTTCCACGCTCATTAAGTCACTCAACAAACACGGAGGGCCTGCTCTGAGCCAGCTCACGGGGGCTGTCGACACGAACCAGCCCCGGTATTGCTCAGAACTGCTCACAGCCTGCCTGGCTCATAGCTCGTTTCATTCTTATGATCACCATGTGAGACAGGAATTATGCTCACCCCTCCTTTTGCAGAGTGGAAAACAGGACAGGAAGATTAGGGGACTTATCCAAGATCCCATAGCAAAAGGCCAAGCTAAGCCCTGAATGCAGGCAACAGACTCCAAGCCTCAGGCTCTTTGTCCCCTCCCAGGTACTGTGGCCTGGAGTCAACACTTCCCCTTTCCTTCAGTTTCTTTGTCTGTACAGAGGGAGCCCCGGACGGGTGACCCAGCTCTGATGCGGACAGATCCTTTGATCCCCTGTCTAGAGCAGATTTGGCAAATAAGAGAGTCAGCTCCAAAAATCAAGTTGGCAGATCTAGATCTCTAAATCAGAGGAGACTCTGCCTGACAAGCCAATGGGGCAAGCAGGTGTTCGGGCCAAGTTTGAAATACGCACAACTCACCCTTATAAGCTATAAACACACGGCGATGCGAGTTCGTGCTGTCCGTCATCCGGCCTGTGAGTTGACGTCCGCAGTTTCTGAGCCAAGTTTCAGCCCAGAAGCAGACGTTCATTTCTCCCACAGAGTCCCACATTGTAAATCAGGTGCCGGGCAGGGAGAGGGGAGCGAGGGGGCTGGACCTGGCCACACTGAGGACGGGGTGGGGGGGGGCGGCCACAGATCGTGGAGGACCAGTGAGCCTCCACAACAGCCAGGGAGCTCAAGATGTCCCATCCACAGGGTCAGCTGCTCCTGCCCACGGGGCCTCGGTGTAGAGCGCTGCCTTAGAGGGGTGGGGGTTAGGGGGTAGGAGAGGCCCACTGGAATACCGACCCTGCTGTTTGTGGGATGCTTGCCAACAGCTCCCCCTCCCAGAGCCACCCCCACTCTCCATGCTGTTCTGTGTCCCCGGGAGGGTGATCACGCTTCTCAGCGGTTTCTCACAATGGCAGGCACATGCACAGAATGGGGGTACCAGAGAGTGAGGTTGGGTGTTTATTCCTCTGGTTCTTTCCCTTTCAAAGATGGCAGGGTCAGCCAGGCTGCTGTCCCTTGCAGCCTCTACCAAGTTTTGGTAACCTCTCACACTCCTTGCCCTTCAGGCTGAGAGGTGACAACGGCTCCCAGGTGTCATCAGCCTTGTTGATTTCCCTTAGCCCTGCCTATGACTTTGTAAATGTCCCCATTCTCAAACTTGTGATTTCTCCCAGGAGGCTGACAATGCAGCCATTACTATATGTCATAGAATCTAGAAATATCAACCTTGAGATGCACTCTTATGTCTATTTCCCACTAAGAATAAATCTCTGCCTTGGAGCGCCTAGATGACTCAGTCTGTTGAACGTCTGACTCTTTGTTTTGGCTCAGGTCATGATCTCGAGATCCGTGAGTTCGAGCCCCACGTCGGGTTCTGCACTGACAGTGCAGAGCCTGCTTGGGACTCTCTTCCTCTCTCTCTGCCCCTCCCCCCCCCACTCGCACTCACACTCTCTCTCTCAAAATAAATAAACCTTTAAAGAAAAAAATCTCTGCCGTAACAGTGACATAAATGAGACCCTTCAATGGTGATACTTCCCTGTCACTTTAAACTTTTTCATTCCATATTTATCAAAAACGCTATTTTAGATAACAGACCTAGAGGTTTTTGGTTTTTTTTTTTAAATAATGCATCCCCCTTGTGTGTACATTGAAACAAAAACATAAGCAAAATAAGTCAATCAAGGTATTCCCAAAACTTCTTCACAAACTCAGAGCCCCCTCTTGCCATGGAGCCATCACATCCACGTTTGTTCACACTGTACCAGCTCTGGGCCATCGAGGGCACTCGCGGTGCAGCATTCCTTAAAGAAGTGTCCCACTGTTGTCTCCGGGAGTTTTCCCCAAGCCACTGCCCACATTCTGCAAATGCTTGTGGGCCAGTATGGGCAATGCCAAGTCTACCGTGACTATCAGCCGTCAGCATCAGCTGTAAAGTGCGCCTCCGCTCCAGAGAAGGTAAAATGTTTGTGTCCAAATCAATGAAATATGAGTTTTAATTACATTGACCTTGGGTAAGTCAGTTTGCGTCTCTGGGCCTTCGTGGTTTCGTTTGTAACAAGGTAACTTTGTCCAACTTGGATGCAAACGCAATCAAGATTGCAGCAAGTTATCTTGTGGATATCAACAAACAGATTCTAAAGTTTATTTGGAAAGATTAAAGACCAAGAATAGCCCATGAAACACTGGAGAAGGACAAAGTCAGAGGACTGACACGACCCAACATCAAGACTTACTGTAAACCTGCAGCAGTCAAGACGATGTGGATTGGTGAAAAAAACAGACAAATAGATTGAAGGAACAGAATAAAGAGACCAGAAATAGACCCACACACATAGTCAACTGCTCTTCGAAGGAACAAAAGCAATGCAGTGGACAAAGATAAGCCTCTTTAACAGGCACACGAAAAAAAAGAAAAGAAAAAAACCAAGGTCTACACACTGACCTTATAGCTTTCATAAAAACTAACTCAAAATGGGGTGCTTGGGTGGCTCAGTTGCTTAAGTGTCTGACTTTTGGTTTTCTGCTCAGGTCATGATCTCACAGTTTCTCACAGCCCCTGCATTGGGCTCTGTGCTAAGAGCATGGAGACTGCTTGGGATTCTCTCTGCCCTCTCTCTGCCCCTCCCCTGCTCTCTCTCTCACTCTCTCTCAAAGATAAATAAATAAACTAAAAAAAAAAAAAAAAAAAAAAAAACTAACTCAAAATGGATCATGGACTTCATAGAAAACACAAAACTATAAAACTTCTAGAAGGTAACACAAGTGACCTTGGGTTGGGCCATGGCTTTTTAAATCCAACACCAAAAGCACAATCCATGAAAGAAAAACTGATACGTTGGGCTTCACCAAAATTAAAAACTGCTCTGCAAAAAAACAGTTAAGAGAATGAAAACACAAGCTACAGACAGGCAGAAAATATTTGCAAAACATACATCTGATAAAGAACTTGTATACATAATATATAAAGAATGGTTAAAAGTCAACAGTAAAAAAACGAACCACCCAATTTAAAAATGGGCAAAAGTCTGAACAGGCCTCTCTCCAGAGAAGATACACAGATGGCAAATCAGCACATGAAAAATGCTCCACTTCATATGTCATCAGGGAAATGCCAATTAAAACAACAACGAGACACCACTACACACCTGTTAGAATAGCCCAAACCTGGAACATCAAAATCTGACAACATCAAAGGCTGGCAAAGACGTGGGGCAACAAGAAATCCCATTCGCTGCTGGTAGGGATGCCACATGGTGCCGTCACTTTGGAAGACAGTTTGGTGGTTTCTTACAAAACTAAACAAAGGGGGGAGTTGGAGGGCAGTAAAACTTGTCCATCTGATACTCTAATGGTGGATACATGGCATTGTACACTGGTCAAACCCGTAGAGTGTACCACAGTGAACCCCAACTACAGACTCTAGTTAATAGTGACGTATCAACACTGGCCCATCAATCTCAGCAAACATACCACACCAATGCAAGATGTTAGCAATGGGGGACACGGTGTGTGTGAGTGGGGCACGTAGGAGATCTCTGTAGTATCTCCTCAATTTTCTGTAAACCCAAAACTACTCTTAAAAATGAAGTCCATTTAAAAAACCAAGAAAGTGCATCTGTAGCTACCTCCTTGGGCTGCTGCGAAGTTTGAAAGAGATGACTGGGGACCAGCATGTGGTACAGGAGCTGACATGGAAAAGATAGTCAACGCCTGTCAACTGCTGGGAGTGTTGCAGTGGTTTTTGGCTGGGCTGGATGGATTCTGTCCCACACGAAGGCCATGGCTAAGCACTCTGCGGCTTACAGAGTCTACATAGACAGGATCTGAATTTCAAACAGCACTCGGTGTTGTAAGATGGTAAGAGCCAGACACCTAACTTACATTAGGTGAAAGAGGCAGGTGTCCTAAGGGAATGGGCCAAGCACGAAGAAGCAGAAAATGGGGAACTGAACCAGGTCAGGGAGCGCTAGCTCCAACACTACAGACCTGGTCCTTGCTTCCATGGACATGGCATTGTAGAATGCATTCTAGAATGGCATTCTCCATGGATAGAATCTGATAGAAAGTGTGTGAGTTTTTTAATGGGAAAGATTAAAAAAATTTTTTTATGTGTTATTTTTTACATCTGAGAGAGAGAGAGCATGAGCAGGGGAGGGGCAGAGAGATGGAGACAGAATCTGAAGCAGGCTCCAGGCTCCAGGCTGTCAGCACAGAGCCTGACGTGGGGCTCGAACCCACGAGCAGTGAGATCATGACCTGAGCCGAAGTCGGATGCTCAAACGACTGAGCCCCCCAGGGGCCCCAGGAAAGATTTTTTTTTTTTTTTAATAAAATGGAGGAATGGGCTATGCCAGGCACCTGGGATGAAGTGCCCTCCGTTGTACAGAAACTTCAGACCCGCCAGAGAAAGGCCCTGAAGTTCCTGCGCTGGGTCCCCCTCCTCCATTTTTCCCCTCAGCAGCCGGTGGTAGAGGGTGATGTTCACCCTCTGTGGTTCTTCTCTGTTCCAGAATGCACTGCAGGCACTGGGTCCCTTCTGGGAGTTTTCTGCTCTGGGAGTTGCAGACCATAGCCTCCTGGATGTAAGCTCTTTCGTTCCTTCCTTCCAAGAAGGATTGAGGCCTCGCAGTAATTGGAAGGAAGCCGAGTAAGGAAGTGAGGAACCAGAAAAAGCAGGACAATTGGCAGGAGGGAGGAAGATGCACATTAAGGTTCGTTGCCGGTGGCCGGTCAGTGGAGCAGGGACCTGAAAGTGCCAGTCCAGAAACCACAGTGCTCGGGGACTTCCAAGGCGGCCTCTGGTTCCGCAGGGGAAGGGGCACTGGCGTCTTTCCCTCTGAAGCAGCATTTTGGTGCCGCTGCCCTCTCTCTACCAACCCCACCTCGGCCATGTCCCAGGAGTGTGACTCTGTACTGTCCGTGTGACCTGCTTCCGAACACGCTGTGGTGAAAGTGACAGTGTCAGCTGTGACCCTAGACCTTGAGGCCTTGGGCACTTGGGCCCAGCGTCAGCACCCCCAGGCCTGCATGCCACACGTGGACAGGTGACCACATGAGGCAGAGGTGAGCCAGGTCCAGCCCCCCCTCCAGAAATCAGCCAAGACTGGCTCACATCTACAGAGGGACCAACCAACATATACGTAGATGGGGGAGAAATAAAAACGGTTGTTTTAAGCTCCTCAAATTGGGTATTTTTTTTACACCGCTATAACTAACTAATTCAGGTATATTTTCTTTCTCTAATATTTGCCTATAGTACAACTCGGGGTTGGTAAACCAGGGCCCGAGGGGCAAATCCAGCCTACCACCAGTTTTTATTAATAAAGTTTTATTGGAACACAGCCTTGCTCGTTAATTTCCACATTGTCTCCGGCTGCTTTCAAGTACGTATGGCTTGTTTTGATTTGGATGTCTTGGATTACTAGGAAGCCCGAGCATTTTTCCCAGGCTTTATTTCCTTCCTGGATCCTTTCTTTTGTGAATTCCTCATTGCTCATTTATCTACCGGAGGATTGTTTTTTATGTGTTTGTTTACCAATGCATGTAAGCTCTTTATGTAATTAAAATAATAATTTAAAAAAGCCCAAAGACCAGGTATTAGCCAATAGACAAATAAACAAACCAACAAACCAACAGATAAATAAAATATCGACCCACCTCTGTCCTGTGTGTCATAAATCCTGAAAACCTTTGCAGAGGCATTTCTGTCATTTAGTCGGGTGACTTTGTGCAACTCCCTTGGGCTCCTGAGTTTCCTCATCTACAAGACAAAAATAGAGAGATTTTGTTCATGAGGTTCTTCTGGAAAGTTAGTGAAAGCTGAAAACCACTAGAGAAGAGAGAGGTATTGTTGTCGTCCCTACCACCCATGCTCACAAACCAGCAGAAGTTAAAGCATCGAAAGTGTCCTGCCTGAGTTTAAGGGTGACACAGAGCCATGGTCTTAAATCACGTTCACAGACCCTGAGGTAGCAAGTCAGGATGCTCTCAGGTACGAGTGAGAGAGGGCCCACCTCAAACAGGCGTAAGCAAAGTAGGAAATCTGTTGGCTCAGGTGACTGTAAAGTTCAGGGTTGCAGGTACAGCCAGATCCAGGACACCAAACAATGTCACCAGGACTTGCTTCCTGGCTTTCCAACTCTTCAGTCAGCCATCCTCTTGATGCCCATAGATCCTGGCTTGCACTCAACCAGCCCGGCGACCCCAGCACAAAGAGCAGACTTCTTATTCAGTGCTTCTAGGAAGAGTTCCAAGGCCAGACTCCAGACCGGCCGGGGTCACGTGTCCTTCCCGAGCCAATCGCCGTGACCAGGGTCTGGCACCGGCTGATTGGCTAGGCCTGGCGGATGGACCGGCTGCCTGGGAATGGGTGAGGGTGGGTCCCCAGAGGAAAATGAGGAGCTGCTGCTAGTCAAAGCGGGCCTGAGCATGGACAGGCACAAACCAGACAGCTCTGCGGGTGCCTGCGGGCCCACACGGGGCGCCAGGGGGGCCAGGCGGGCAGGGACAAAGCTTCAGGCAGACTACCTTCCTGTGTATCTGGTTTGTAGATTCGGCCCGCTGTCAGGTTGTGTTTGGGGAGCAGCTGCTGCTGCTAAGTGAGTTTGGACATTCTTGCTGTGGACAAAGGGAGGCATATCCAGAGACGAGGCTGAGGGTGTGTCCCCACTGCAAGGAGACTCAGGACATGAGCACTCCTAGAATGAGCATTTATTAGGCATCTCCTGTGGGCCGGACCTGGGATTACAGCAGGAACGAGACAAAGACCTCTCCCTGGGGCTCACGTTCAAATTAGGCAGATGGCAACACGAACGTAAGTCCATACCGTGCTGGGTCATGTTGCAGTCACACAGGAAACGGCACAGGAAAATGTCATAGAGCAATAGGGGTTAGGGGACACTTGGATGGCCAGGGAGGGTCTCTGTGGGGAAGTGACATTTTGAGCTGAGATCCTGGAGAAGGAAGCCCAGGAAAGGAGCACCCTGGCAGAGGGAATAGCACGTGTAAAGGCTCCAACACGGGACGGCGTTTTGTATATTTGAGAAACAGACGGCATCAGCTTTGGAGGAGAGCAGACGAGGGCGAGGAAGGGGTACGTGCCGCAGGCTGTACAGGCCCCATCAAGGAGGTCTGAGCACTGGTCCCACACAGAGAGGAGGTACCAAGAGGTGGCGAGCTGGCTGTATGAGGCCAGAGCGAGGCCTGGCTCAAGGGTGTAGCTGTGACCGCTATCGGAAGGGAGTTTCAATTCCAGCTCACTTCGAGAGAAGACTTTTCCATCAGTCAGTGGCATCCTACTGCGGAATGGATGGCCTGGAGGTGGTGAGCTCTCTGTCCCCAGAGGTATGCAACCAAGAAACAGTGGCAGAACAGGCTAGAAAGCTGGGAGTGGATGACTCTGTGAGATCAGCAGAGAAATACAGAACCAAACACGATAATAACGCTTAACAAAGTTTACGGTGGCAAAGGGCCACTTAGAACATTTTAGCGGCAGCCTGCTGTGATCAGAGCAATCTCTGGAAATGATTTATTTACATATAAAAATGAGACATTTCTCAACAACCTCGAGACAGCCCCTGGGGCGAGGCTCTCATTGGACAGCGCCTCCCCCGGGGTCCGGGCTGCTCAGCCCCCCGGTCGCCTCCAGCCTCGGCAGGGGGCTGATTGCCTCTCTGAGGGGAGGCGGGCGGCTGCGGCCCGCCCTGCCAGCATTCTGGAGAGTTCCTTCTCCAAAATAAACCTCGCCTAAGCATTTCAATGTGCGGCCGAGCATGAAGTACAGTCAACAATTTTATTCCAAGAATGCAAATGAATCCCTGAGGGGCCAGGAAGAGGCGGAATGCCCTGGCCCAGAAGCTTTTTTTTTTTTTTTTTTAAGAGTGTGAGTGGGACACAGCAAATTCCACCGCCTCGAGCCAGAATTGGGGAAACTGAGGCTGGGGCATCAGCCCAAGGTCGCAGAGCCGGGAAAAGGCAGAGCGGGCTGGAACGTGGCTGCCAGACGCCTTCCACCCCGCATAGAACCACCCCACCAGGGTGCTATTCCTGTGCACAGAGCACGCTCCCCGGTGTAGGCCAGTAGCCCCGGAAGGACAGGTAAGGCGATCGTTCTGTGGAAGGGAACCACTCAGTGCACTTCTGCTGGGTCTGTTCTGGGCACCAGTGACCCGGGGGAAGAGGGCCAGTGCTCTCAGTGCCCTGGCAGCAGCATCTGCCGGGACCTCGTCTGGATAGTGCCATCGGGCCTGGGTCCCTGGCGAGGCTCCTCCCGGACCCCCAGGAGATTGCCTAGGTCCTCGACCTGGTATTGATTAGCCTGGGAACACAACTGGGGCACAAGAGGTAGGGGTGGTCGGCTGCCCTCTCTCTGCCGAAGCAAACGCCTGGTTCCTCGTTCCCTGGAGAATTATAACTCACTTTAAACAAGAAGGCGGATGGCTTTGTGGCTGCCTCCCCCAGCCTCGCAGTTTAGCACCACCCGACTTCCAATTAGCATCATCAAGTCTCCCCTGACACCCGCCTCCCTCCAGGCGCAAAAAGTTTGCTCAAGGGCAAGGCACACTGTTGCACGTTCGTGAGCCCATTGATGGAATATACATTTATTACCACCTGTTTTGAGCCTGGTTCCTATAATGGTCATAGTTACCACGGGGGGTGGGGGGCAGCCAACGTTGGGGGAGGGCAGGCATGGTGTCCCGACAGCAGAGGAAGAGACCAGCCTCTGGGAGGCTCAGTAGCCAGTGCAAAGTCCACCTGCCCTGGGAGCCCTGGAGATGGGGTGTAACCCAAGACTGGTTTCAAAGCCTGAGCTATGAATGCTGAGAGGCTCACCACAGTGGCAGCAAAGGCATTGCTCTGGGGGTTGCAAGAGATGATCTGTGTGTGAAAAGCAGCTGGTGTCCTTGCACCCAACAAATGTCAGCTCCCCCTGTAATAGGAGGTGGGGGTGAGGGGGAGCTGAGGCACACCCGTGATGTCCCTCTAAGAGTGGCCTTAAAGACTGACCCAGAGACCATGTCGTGGCCCCGTGGACTCGAGCCATAAGAGAGGTATCATGCCTTGGGAATTGGAGGTAGGGCGGATCCTGCCAGCAGAAGGAATCCAGGAAGGCTGCGTGGAGAAGGGGGCTTAGGCTGGTCTGGAAGGCTGGGAGAACTTCAGAAGGAATAATTCCTAACTTGCAGAGGAAGAATTCCGGGCTGGCATTCTGTCTTCCAGCGTTTGCCCTTTCAGTGGTCAGAAGCTGCCACCCTGGTGGCCCTGGGATCAATCGCCCAGACGTTGCTGTTCCTTCCCCAGTTAGTACCAGAGCCCTCCAGGGGCCAGGCCTGGCTCTGTGGGCCTGAGGACGTGCAGGCCTATAGTGCCTGGTCTCTGCTCTTTCCCCTGGCGCCTTAGTTACTCGCCTCTTCTCTGCCTCTGCGCCATTGACTGTGAGCCTCCTGAGGGCAAGGACGGGTCTTGTCCAGTGGCATAGCTGGGCCTGGCACTTGTTCAGCACTGAGCAGTGCCTGGTGGCCTTCGCACGGTCACTCCTCCTCCTTCCCGCTACCCACGCCCCACACCAAAACACCAAGACCCTGAATCCAAGCCCAAGGGTTCTGTAGGCGGAGCAAGTTCCGCTGCAGCTGGGAGCCTCAGCTGGCTCACCTGTAAGACGGAGACAAAGGATCCCTGTCCGGCTTCCCTCCCGAGCTCTGGCAGATGGCAGGCGAGGTGACTCACTCAGGTGGGAGCCCTTTTGAAAAGTAAGAGGCCCTCTCAGACCCTCTATACGTGCACACACAGGAAATGTTTTTTTTTTTAATGAACTTGAAACTATTAGAATCTTTTGCTTGCTTTTTGCCTGTCGAAAGTTTTATTTTGCCAAATCTTTTGGAACATGAACTCCGGAATGAACTACCTATTAGCTAAAAGCTGATAATTGATTATCAGTCAAATAGCCTTGACGAAGTATCATCTGCCTTGTGCGGGGGATGGCGGGGGGCCCAGGGAGTGCAGCCCTGCTTGGAGGAGCTCATAATCTCAAGGGGTAGGAGGCAGCTGACCTGGAGGGTCAGAGAAGAGGCTGTCACTCAGCCTGAGGGGGGAGAGAGAGAGAGAGAGAGAGAGCGAGTGAGCAGGAAGGGGCAGAGAGAGGGAGAGAGAATCCCAAGCAGGCTCTGGGCTGTCGCACAGAGCCTGATGTAGGGCTCGAACTCACGAACCGTGAGATCAAGACCTGAGCCGAAATCAAGAGTCAGACGCTTAACTGACTGAGCCACCCAGGCGCCCCCAGGCCAAGTCTCAGAGGATGAGTAGGAGACACCAGTGAGGACGAGAAGGCAGAAGGACAGTGCAGCCAAGGCCTGGAGGGGTGGGAGAGAGCGAGAGGGGCTCACAGGCACCTGGGCTTCAGTCCCTCACTTGCCGGGGGCCCCTTTCCATTGTAATATTTGTCAGTCAAATAAAAACATACACTCATATCGAATTTTCTATCCACGATTGTGTTTCCTTCCTTAAAGGAACTCCCCAGGCTATGCTTCCAGCCCCCGGCTTTCCTAGAAGCCTGTGTAGACCCGCCCTGTGTAGAAAACTTGTGTCACACCAGACACCTGGGCTTAGATGACAGGGGCTGGGGAGGTGGCGGTGAAGGAGTTTAAGCAAGGAAGAGCCCAGAAGTGTCAGGTGTCTGAAACTTGGAATGTCCAGAATGGAACCCTCCAGCCACTCTCCAGATCTCTAACCAGACCCTCCCCCACCAGCTCTGAGCACTAAACGTGACCTTCCAGGTAGATGCTCAGGTCGGACCTCAGGGGTCATCCCTGTGCCTTCCTCCTCCCCACAGCCAACCACCAGAAAGTCTTGTCTGTTCTGCATTCCAGAATTGCCCGGTCCGTCTGCCCTGGGTATCCCCCCAGCTCTGTTCCACACCGGAGCATCCGCACTGCTTTCTCCGGCGGGGGGGGGGGGGGGGGGGGGGGGGAGTAGCTACCTGCATTTTCCTCCTGAACCACAGCCATGGCCTCTGCGACCACCACCATCTCCCTTCCTGCCCCTGCCTGAGATTCTGTTGCGAATAAACCATTCGTCAAAAAGCCAACGAGCCGCCCAGCCAGCCTCGTGGCTTCTTCCCCATTCTCACCTGCCTGTCCCCCACACTGACCCCTGCCTCCAGGGCACACGGCTCCTGGCTTCTTCCCCCGGGGTCCTGCCGCCTGCCTTCAGACGGGGGACTTCTCTGGGGACTCCTCACGCTCATCTGTACCAGCGACAGAACCACCTTCTTCCCGCCCCGCCTGTTGTCCTCCCGTGAACTAAGATAATGGTTCTAAACTTGTTTGTTCAAATTGTACAGATGTGTGAGATGGAGATCCAAAGACGCTTCGGAAGGCTGCTGAACACAAACACGCTCGCGTTGGCCCTCTGCTGGCAGCAGCCGGGTGCGCGGCGATGGTCAGATAAGCTGCTTCTCCGTCCTTTTCAACATTTCTGAGCCCGCTATTGACCAGGCCAGGTGCCGGACCAGGTCCTGGGGACCCATGATGAGGGTGGAAGGAGCAGGGCTTCTGCAGGATGAACACCCCCCGCCCGCCGGGGGGGCGGCCCCGGGAACATAAATTACTCATCATGGCCATCTGCACTTGCCCGCCACCTCTGTAAGTCACTTCCACCCTGGCTGTCCCGTAAGTAACTTGAGGACATGAGGAAGAAGTCCAGGACTGGGCATGGCAAGACTACGTCCCCGCTCCCCACCCCCAAGTCCTCTGTTGGAGACCCCAAGAGGCCTCTGCACTCTGCCTTCCGGAACCCCTCCTCCCAGCTCCTCTGTCTGTGCCTGCTGGGACCGGCTGGTGGCTCCAGCTGGAATGCCTTCTTCACTGATCCCACCCCCCACCCCCCCAAGCTTCACCACCTCAGGGAGGCCATCGCTGGTCTCCGAGTGGGCTGGCCTCCCTCTGTGCTCCCATGAACATTCTGTCATTAATGATAAATTCTGGGTTTACTTGTCAACTCATGCCCAGGACAAATATAGGGGAAAGACCTAACTCACCGTTGTGTCTCCGACCCCAAACCGAGCCTGGCACATAGTAGGTGTTCAGTGAACATTTCATGAATGGATGAATGGATGAATGAGGAAGCATCACTTTCAGCCAGCTCTGTGTGGGACTGTCCACATCTTATTACCACCACACCCATCTAAGCCTAGGAGCTAGGTTTTCCAGAATCCCCTCTGTCACAGGTTAAATGGCGTCTCCCTCAAATCCATATGCTGAAGTCTTAACCTCCAAGACCTCAGAAGGTGACCTTCTGTGGGAATCGGGTCCTTATGGATGTAATTAGTTAAGATGAGGTCATGCTGGACTAGGGTAGGTCCTTAATCCAATAAGACCAATGTCCTTATACAAAGGGGACACTTGGGCACAGACTCGCACACAGGGAGACGGCCCTGTGAGGACAAAGGCAGAGATCGGGGTGATGCTCCTACAGCCGAGGATGCCAGAGGTGGCCAGCAAACCCCCAACAGCTTGGGGAGGAGCCTGGAGCGGGTTCTCCCTCCCAGCCTCGGAAGGAAGTGGTCTACTGCGACACCTTGATCTTGGACTTCCGGCCTCCAGGGGTGTGGAACAATACGTCTCTGTCGTTTAAGCCACCGGGTCTGGTGCTGTTCCTGCAGCCCAGGGAACTAATGCAGCTTCTGGCTGGGTCTCACCAGTGTGGCCAGCTTAGCTCCTTTGAGACTGGAATGTACCGTCATTCTCAGGAGACCATGAAGATTGGGGCCAACCACTCCCTAAGATGGGGGGTTTCTCAGGCCACCCCATCTGTGAGTGCTGTCTGTGGGGACCCCGGGCACCTAGCCGCTCCCCTGTTCTAGGGGTCTCGTGCTGAGGTTTGGTGAGTTTCTCTGAGCCTCCGGGCCCCAGGCCCTCCCACATTCAGCAAACCTCCCCTCCTCCACTGCAGCCCTGTTCTCGTGTCACTTGCGGTGGCTGTGTCCCCGACCAAATGCAGACTGATCCAGACTTCAGAAATGTCATGATGTGGCCAAATGCTGCCCTCACTCTTTAAGGTGACACGTTCTTCATCAAAAAGGCAATGAACGGGCCACCAGGAGTGTTCACTCACAGTGACAGTCACGGTGACAGGTGCTCTGATGGACGAGCTTTCATCTCTCCGCTGTTACGGCGACTCCCAGTCATGCCCACCCGAGAGAGAGCCTTCTCTCCGGGACGACCCCGTCACTCACCTGGCAGAAGCAGGTCCTGTATCCTACAATACCCGTGTGCTGCTTACAAAGCTGGAAGGGCTGAGAAATTCTTGCTGGGGATGTGTGGGGACCAGTCCCAGATGTCGTGTGGTCTCGAGGGCAGCATTCGAAACCACCTCCCATCAGATCCAAAGCACACTTCACCACATGCTCCTATTAGGTGTCCTGGAAGAAGGTTCCAAGAACCAGGTCATCAGGCACGTCTCCCAGTGAGGAAGGGACAGTGCTTAAGTTTCAACAGGTACTTTGAAGGCCTAGAAACCTTGAAGGAGCCTGATGAATCCAACACAAAGCCCACAAGGGATCCTCAGGCTCCAGAAGCGTCCACTTTGCCCTTGACCTGTCCTCCAGCACACCTAGGGGCGCTTCCCTCCACCTGCAGGGCATCTCCAGCACCTGGTACCCCAGCACTGGATCCTTCCCCTGCCTTCACACCTTTGCACTTGAGTTTCCACCGCCTTGTTTAGTCTCAGGCCAAGAGGCAAATATTACCATTCCCCACTTTCTAGAGGGGAAATGGAGTCCCAGAGGGGCTAAGCATTGTGCCTGACGTCACACAGGGAGTAGGTGGTGAAGTTGAGGGCGGGCCTCGACTTTCAACATTAGAGCAGTGGTTGTCAAGCTTTAAAGAGTGGGAGCTCATGTGCAAAATGCAGATTCCTGGGCCTCGTACCAGGTGGTTTTGATTCAGGGTCTCTGGGTGAGTCTCAGGGACAGATGAATCTGTTGCCGCTGGTTCATGGCCCGCATGTGGGGTGAGGGGCTGGGGGTGGGGGTGTAGTAAATGATCCCACCCATAAAGAAGATCTTTCCTTATCTGCCCACCTTCCCCCAGCAGCTTGCCTTCGGGAATCTCCCTCCGCACACTCCAAGGCGTGTTCCAGCTGACCCCCCCTTGGTGTGATGGCTCAAATCCCAAGTCCTCCACTCACCAGCTCTAAGACACCGGATGAGACATTTAACCTCTTCTTGTCCTGATTTCCTCCTCTGTAAAATGGGGAGCACGCTGGGACCTGCTTCGGAGCGGTTACGAGTTTGAAATGAGTTCAGATACAGAAAACACTTGGAACAGCGCCTGCGTGGTAAGCTCTTGATAGATATTAGCTGTCTTTATTATTACGACCATTCATGTGGTTGTTATTACCGTGGAGCTATTTCAAGGGTGTCTGTCTTGCCTACACAAGAAGATTGTAAACTTCTGAAGTGTGCAGAGCTTAGCACAGGCTGGGCCATACGGTAGATGATAAATACTTAGTGAGTGTATGAATTAATCATTAAATGCATAATTAATCACATCTTGTAATTAATATATGAAGGAACAAATGACAATGACCAGGGTAACAACACTAAATAATAGTATTATTGATCCCTTGATGGTCACTTAATACAGACCAGGATTCCATTTCTCATCGCAGCGAGAAAACTGGGGCACAAACCGGGGCACAAAGAACGTAAGCAGTTTGTCCATGTTCTTGAGCTACTAAGTACTTGAGCTGTTGTTTCACTCCAAACTGTTCCGGGGCAAGAACTCGTCTCTTCTTAACCACAACACTGTGTTGGTTTTCTCTGATGAAACTAGAAAAAGTTTCTGGCGGGAGGTGAATAGCAAAGTTGCTACAAGTTGCTTGCTAGCCTCTCCAGGGGTGTAACTGAATCTTGTTTAATTTTGTTTCCTTAGCTCCAGGAAAAGAATTCACATAAAGTAGAAACCTAAGGAAATGAGCATTGCGTGTGCTTGCATGGATGGGTGGGGTGCATGGATGGGTGGGTGATGGATGGGTGGGGTGCATGGACAGGTGGGTGCATGGAGGGTGGGTGCATGGACGGGTGGGGTGCATGGATGGGTGGTGCATGGATGGGTGAGTGTGTACATAGATACATGGGGAATGGATGGGTAGGGTGATGGGTGGATAGATGATGGAGTGGAGAGAGCAGGTGGGTGCATGAACGATGTTCAGTTGGAAGGGTGGCTGAGTGGATGCACATGTGGGCAGATAGGAGTATGATGAGTAGGTGGAAGGATGGGCATGTGGCTAAGTAGGTGGCGGAAGTGAGAGAGTGTCCTCTCCGTGTTATTCTGCAGAGTGACACTCAAAGAACCCCGAGACAGGGAGACGTGGAAAACAGATGTGCATTTGGAGGTGAAAGAAGCTGAAAAATCGTTGCTGGCAGTGCTGTTCCTGGAAGGGAGACGAAGGCGGGAAGACACATTTGGGTTACAGGAAAAGGCGGCCCCTCATGCAGCATCTTTAGTCTATAAGGGCCCAGGGCTCTGCACTGAAAGCACTAATTGGATTTCATTAAAGCGAAATAGATTTCCTAGCACTAGAAGAGCCAGTTCATTAATTTCACACATGCTCTACTGGAGGAAGGCATGGGGAAGGGCAGCCAGCCCCAGTCTCCCCAGGCTAAGATCAGTGCTGGGAGCCCGCTGCAGTTTGGTGCAGAGCCTGGATTCTGAGCACCTGCTCCATGCCAGTGCCTGGGCTGGCCATCGGGGGTGCAGTGATGAACCAGATACAACCACCACCTCCGGTAACTCGGTCTTGGAGGAGGCAGCCACACAAGGCAGGGCGTGCACAGTGACAGGGTGCTGGACCAGGGTAAGCAACATAGAATGTCTGACCTGTGCTGCTGGGGGTCCTGGGGGTAGGGTGGAGGTAAAGAGCAGAGAAGGGAGAAGTTGGCCCAGCTGCCCTAAGGCTCACGGGGCCATGGTTTGCACAAAGGTTTTCATGCCCAGAGTGGGCAACACCAAGGGAGGAGACAAGCAGGGGTGCTGGGGTTCATCTAAAATTCTTCAAAAATATTCACTGAACACTCATGGTGTGTCAGATGTGTTCCAGGTACTGGACATCCAGTGGAGCAGACCGACCTGGTGCTGGAGCTGAGAAGAGTGGTCTGGGCCGGAATTTTAAATTGGGGACATTTGGGGGCGCCTGGGTGGCGCAGTCGTTTAAGCGTCCGATTTCAGCCAGGTCACGATCTCGCGGTCCGTGAGCTCGAGCCCCGCGTCGGGCTCTGGGCTGATGGCTCGGAGCCTGGAGCCTGTTTCCGATTCTGTGTCTCCCTCTCTCTCTGCCCCTCCCCCGTTCATGCTCTGTCTCTCTCTGTCCCAAAAATAAATAAAAAACGTTGAAAAAAAAATTAAAAAAAAAAAATAAGTTGGGGACATTTGAACATATAAAAAGGTGGTCAATGCCCCGGTCCGGATGACGTCACCAGGGGAGAGAGTAGGAGGGGCGGGGTCATCTTAGTTCTTTCTTCCTCTCAGAGCAAGAATTCCTTCCACACCTTCCACTGACAGGTGGCTCCCCAGCCCCTGCTTGCATGCTCCAATGACAGAGAGCTCACTACCAGCCAAGCCAGTCCTGCCTGCTTTTGGAAGTCCTGGCTGTTAGTTAAATTCTTTTGTATGCGGGCCAAAGTCTCCCTTCCCTTTTGATTTTACTCCTTTGTTCTGATTCCATCTTCTGGAGACCCGGCCCGTCCAGTCGGCTCCCTCTTTGCCATGATCTGCTAGAACCCACAGATGTGGTTCACCACACCTTCCTTCTTCTCCGATTGTGGGGCCCTGGGTTTCTTCTGAGGGTCCCGCACCGTCCCCACTGCCATCTCCCATCCCAGGAAGCGACAAAGTCTTGTTTTAACGTCTGAACCGTGGCCTTAGAGACCAGAAGAAGAGGGGACACTTAAAACTAAGAGACTTCCCTTCTGTGTCTTTATGAAACACACCCAGTTCCTTCTGCTACTCTGAGCTGCCTCGGTGGCTCCCCCAGATATTTTTGTCTCTGGGTTGGGGTCTTCACGCGGGAGGTCATCACGTGAAACCAGTGGCCGTACCAGGGACCCCCTCATCTTACACAAACTTTTAAAATTTATTTTAAAAAATTTGCTTATTTTTGAGAAGGAGAGGAGAGAGAGAATGAGTGAGGGAGGGACCAAGAGAGAGGGAGACGCAGAATCCAAAGCAGGCCCCAGGCTCCGAGCTGTCAGCACAGAGCCCACACGGGGCTCGAACTCACGAACTGTGAGATCATGACCTGAGCCGAAGTCGGACGCTTAACCCACTGAGCCACCCAGGCGCCCCTTACACAAACTCTTTATAACAACATTGGACCCAGCAGGACTTCCCTCTTTGAGCGGATGCTTTGGCAGTCTGAGTTGCTTGTCTGCTCTCAACCTTCCCTCAGTGTGATGTAGCAACTTTCTCCTGCCAGCGGTGACCCTGAGGGCTCCAGGCCAGCCCAGCCAGCTTCTCTTCTGCCTCCTCTCCCCACACAGTCTTACCCAGCATGGGAGAGGCTCAGGCTGTCCGAGTTCTCTATGAAATCTCGGGGGCAATAGAGGACTGTCCCAACAGGCCTGGGTTGTCCACACCTGGCACATTCAAAGAGAGGTCCGGCCCTTGATAGGCTCCTGAGAGAAACCCTCTGAGTCCTTGGACTATTTATTCTTCCTGCCAGGAGTGTCTTTGGGCCATGCTGGACAGTCCCCACAAACAAGGGGACTTAGGATGGAGACTCTGGGTCATGTGCTATTAGTCTGACGTCTGGGAGACTGAGTAAGGTCAGCCATGTCTCCGTGAGGAGCTGGGCACCACGGCACCACGGTTCTCTGTCGCCCAATGTTGCCACACGAATCAGGCACCGTGTGTAAGACTCCACTGGCAGAGGCACAGGGAAGCTGGTGCCTCGTGTCTCCTGGACCCCACCCTGCGCACCTTAACCCCTTGCTGATTTCAGTCTGTGTCCAGTCGCTGTTACAAACCACAGCTGGGAGTACAATAGCTTTCTGAGTCCCGTGAGCCCTTCCGGCAAATCATCAAACCTAAGCATGGCCTCGGGGCCCTCGAACACACCTGCTATCACAGAATCTGTCCTGTTTCACGACATGTTTGTGCCCCCACCCCCACGCCCCCAGACCGTGAGCCAGGATCCCAGGGTCCAGGTTTCAGCCCCATTTCCCACCATGCCCACTGCTCCTGTTCTGTGAGCTGGATACAATAAGCAAGGCTCTGGGTTACCGTTGACTTCCCCTGGGCTGCCTTCTGAATTTGCTTGATGAATTGTGAACCTGGGTTTCTCAGGCCCGTGTTGTATATGAGGGGCAGGACTCTCAAACACGACCGTCCCCCTGCAGACCATTGTCGATTTTCTATCTGGGACAACAGTGCCGTTCACAGCTTTCAGGGACCGTCCCTTGCTCTTGGGTTCTGGACGGAAATCCACAATGAGTCAAGCTATGCAAAGCTCAGCAGAGCCTTGGAAGCCCCTGCCGCCATCCCCACGAGATACTGGTCTCATCTGCTCACGGCTGAAGGGGCTGCGGCCCTCGTCCTCACTGCTCTGATCCCTGAGAAAGACAAGTGGACCCCTGGCGGCTTCCAGGGGCAGTTCTACTCACACCCCAGGCTACAGAGGGCCTGAGGTGACCATGGCCATGTCAGCACGGTGGCCCCTGGGTCCCTCCAAGAGAAACACCAGAACTGTCCTCTGCTGGTTTCTTTGGCAAGAGGTTAAGAAAATAGAAAACAGCCAAGTCTGAGAGCAAAGAAAATCCTATTTGGTGACTTCATTGCTGGGCCTGAGCCGGCCGGGCTCCACAGACCTGCTGGAAAGGACAAGTGTCCTCATGATCCATGGCTATGATGAGGCTATCTCCTCCCTTGTCCCACTCCCTGGCCCCCTCCCCTGTGTCCCTAACCAGTGGATGGCTGGCCTGAGAACGTCTTGTGTGCCCAGGGGATGAGGGAGGGCTGGGGGTGAGGGAGGGGGAAATTCACATCCTTTTTAAAAATGTTTCTGGATAAGCGATTGGCTCAGACTCAAAAAAGCAAGACTAGAATTCAAATATTTGTTTGATGCTTCTGGTTTATAAAGCACATTTCTTTTTTTCTTTTAATTTTGTTTTAATGTTTATTTATTTTTGAGAAGGAGAGAGAACGTGAGCAGGGAAGGGGCAGAGAAAGAGGGAGACACAGGATCCAAAGCAGGCTCCAGGCTCTGAGCTGTCAGCACAGAGCCCGATGCGGGGCTCGAACTCATGGACTGCGAGATCATGACCGGAGCCGAAGTCGGATGCTTAACCGACTGAGCCACCCAGGCGCCCCCGTAGAACACTTTTCCAACCGTTACCCCACCTGAGCCTCATGATGATCCTGGAAACTTGGCAGGGCAGGGACTCTCCTCCCTGCCCCCAACCTTTTCCAGACAAGAAACAGAATCAGAGAGATTATATGGCTCAGAGGACTGGGTTGCTCTAGAATCTGGGGGTCTTCATGCAGGTGCCCTGGCAGACCAGGTCACCCACGTTGGCTTCAGGAGGAAGGGAGCTGGGTGGGAAGACTAGTCACGGTCCACCAGAGAGCGGCTCTGGGCTCCCCTGCCGTGTGGCATTTGCTCAGGCCATCCCCTCTGCCAGGAACCTTCTTCCTCACTACTGGTCAAGTTCTTCTAGCCCCTGCAGAGCCCCACCTAAACATCACCCTCTGGACGAAAATTTCAGGATATTTTCAGGCCAGCCAGATATTATGCGACTCCCTGGGCTGTCACAGCTCCTGGAATGACTTTATCACCCTGGTTGTTATTGCCACACACCTTCCTTATTGGATCCTAAGCTCCCTGGGGACACGGGCTCCGTCTGTCATCCCTGCAGCTCCAGTCCCCAGCACAGGGTCTGTCCCAGAGGACATTAAACTCTTTAATGTTTATTGGCTGAGTGAATGAATGAATCGATCCATCAAATCCAGCTGCCACCCCATGTATTTATTATTCACAAAGCAGAGTGCGCTTTTCTTTTTCTTTTCTTACGCATTTATTTCTGCTCAAGAAGCACACGACTATATTTTTTGCTGTAAGCCATTCAAGCACTGCAGAGAAAGCCCAGCTTCCCCCACTCCCCATCCCCACCACCACCCATACGCTATGTCTCCTTCACGCCAGTCTTCCCCTGAAGGGAGCCCAGCCCGGGGGTCAGTGTGGGGTGTCTCCTTCCGGACCTCTTGATATACACTGAAAAATACACGCGGAAACATACGACTTTATATTTTGTGTATCTTTTTAAAAAAAAATTTTTTTTTTAACGTTTATTTATTTTTGAGACAGAGAGAGACAGAGCATGAACGGGGGAGGGTCAGAGAGAGAGGGAGACACAGAATCGGAAACAGGCTCCGGGCTCTGAGCTGTCAGCACAGAGCCCGACACGGGGCTTGAACTCATGGACCGTGAGATCATGACCTGAGCCGAAGTCGGCCGCCTAACCGACTGAGCCACCCAGGTGCCCCCTATTTTGTGTATCTTTTAACATAAATGATTTCCTGTTGTGTATCTCACTCTGCCACTTGGTCTTGCTGACTGATGTATCTTGGACCTTGCTCCTCGTCGTTCTCAGAGAGCTCCTTAGGTCGTTTTAGTTGCTGATCTATTGTTTGTTTATCCAGACTCTTTTAAAAAAAATTTTTTTTTTTAATGTTTGTTTATTTTCGAAGGACAGATAGAATGTGGGTGGGGGAGGAGCAGAGAGAGAGAGAGGGAGACACAGAATCTGAAGCAGACTCCGGGCTCTGAGATGTCAGCACGGAGCCCGACGCGGGGCTCGAACTCACAAACCGAGAGATCATGACCTGAGCCGAAGTCAGACGCTCAACCGACTGAGCCACCCAGGTGCCCCTAGACTCTTTTTTTTTTTTTTTAAGTTTATTTTGAGAGAGACAGAGGCAGTGTGAGTGGGGGAGGGGCAGAGAGAGAGGAGAGGGAATCTCAAGAGGCTCACGAGGCTCAAACTCATGAAACTGTGAGATCGTGACCTGAGCCAAAATCAAGGGTCTGACGCTTTACCAACTGAGCCACCCAGGCGTCCCCTAGACTCTTCCCGATGGGCACTGAGGCTTTCCCCAATTCCTCCTCCCGACAAATGATGTTGCTG